ATAATTTTCACACAAGAAAATATCTTTAAGTATACATTCTGATAAGTTTTATACAATCCTTATCAAGATATGGAAATTTTATAGCCCTCTCAAATTTTTCCTTTGTCCCCTTCCAGGCAGTCTATACCACAAGAGATAATATTGTTCTGGTTTGTATTGTATCATCATTTGAATCAATGTGTAGAACTTTCCAGCACCTCTGGAATTCCTTGAACTTATCCTAGTCAATAATGAACCAAATAGGAAACTATATTCTGACTTTTACCACCATACGACAGTTTGGGCCTATTCTTAAAATTTTCACGGGAGTGAGTTACTGTGCTTTCTTATTTTGCATGCATTAATTTTTGAAATGTGTCCATATTGTCATGTGTGCTGTCAGTCTTCTCCTTCTTCCTCTCTGAACCATACTCTTAGTATGGGTGTGCATCACTCTGCAGTCTCAAAGCATCTCCTTGGCTTGGGTCTCAGGCCCTCCCAATCCGCCCAAGCTCTGTTCTTTAACAGCTTGTGTATCAGCTCTTCTCATTCCCTGCTCCTTTATCTTTGTTCTTAAGGAAGGCTGGAACATGGCTCCTTGCAGCTAAGATGTCTGTGACTAATACAAGGGTGCAACATGTCATATGTACTCAGTGTCTGTGGACATGAGTGTTCGGAGCACAGAGTTTTGATTGTTTACTCATCTATTCCTAGGCAGCACCATCCTAAGCAACGCAGACCTTTGGGAGCTCTAGAGAATTTTCTTGGCTCACAGACTTGATAGGAATGCCTTACCCCACTGTAGCACTCTCCAAGCTTTGTCTGAAAGACCTTCCCTAACCTCAGACCATCTTAAGTCCCTTCCAAGGCCCTGTGATTACTCTTTCATGCCCAGCATAATCCTTATTCCTATTTTCCATTGCTGCTTCACTCAGCTGCCTTACCCTCTGATTCCAAGGCACAGAGTCTGTGTACCCCTTCAACACTAAGTTCCAGCCACTCCGGGCTCTGATGGGCACATGAGATGCATAGGTAAATGGTATTTGGGGTTTCTTCCCAGTAAGTTCTCTCTGCCATGTTGTTTGAAAGACCTCAGCCAGAGATAAAACCTTTCATGTGAGGAAAGTAAACTTGAAAATATGACCTCTGTGGAAGTATTCTATAGAAGCTATATCATTTCTTGGAGATAGGGTCATGTATTTGTCCTCTAAATATTCAACACAAATATTAAATCTATGAAGATATTGGGTAGGTTATGATCATGGGGCTCAGCTATTTATATGACAATATGCTGTGGAAATCTTAGCATGTGTATTTTGCCCAAAGATTTGATAACTGGGGAGCCTCAAAGTGCTAATCCTGTGATTCATCCATCAAGCCTCCTTTCAAGACTGCCCTGTCAGCTTCTACCCCTTACAGCGAAGGGTAGTTCAGAGTCCCAAAGAGGTGCAAATATTTTGGGGATGTGGCTGGTCAGCACACTCTCAATAGATTTCCACTGTTTTTATCATAGACCACTTAGAGATTTGTACATGGGTTTCAAAAAGATTCCTGAGTTTGTAGTATTGTGTACAGAACACTAAGGTATGTGCTTTTGTGTATTTTTTGCAAGAAAAGAGTTTAAATTTTTCTTAGATCTTTAGGGCCTATGTTCTATCCAAAGTTAAAAATTATTGTCCTTACTAGCACTTCTTGTTAATTATGTAAATATCTCCATTATAAGAAAATAAAGAGGGTGGACAATCAACTAGGCCTGCTCCACCTTCTTTGCTTCTGGTTTAACAGAGCATGATTCCTCCCTGGACTTCAATTGCATTTCTGCTGGCTCTGGCTGTCTAAATTGGACTGAGTGGCCACATTCATTTCTTGTGTTACTTTATTAGAGAGTTCATCTCAGATTTAGAGGAGAGTTGATACAGTTAGACATGATTTTTGTATTTATTCAAACAATGATGTGCTGCCTACTTAAAAAGGAACATATTTTGTGCCTCATTTTTGCTTTTTTTCACTATGAACTGCTTGGGATGCCAAGGCTGAGACAGTGGATCACTGACAAGAGAAAGAACAAAACAAACCAATAATCTGTTGATTTCCTAGTGCCAGAAGCAGGAGACAATGTGATGGACTTACATGCTCTACTTTGGAGAGTATAGAAGGAGAGCTAGAACAACACTGATTACTGATTCATGAACTTGTGAACCTGCAAGTCACATCAGATGGGGCAGTCATACATTCCAGAGGATGTCTTCTGTTTATGCTTGTACCTACATCAGAAATACATGAAGAGAAATTGAACATTTGGAAGGATTAATTCTTTATTTTCTTTCTGGTAGTCAGAAATTGAAAACTGCCAATGCCTGAAATAGGAGAGCAGCAAACCATGGTGAAAAGTCAATGGAAAGAGTTTAATATGGCCACTCGCTCGGCCCCCAAAGCATTGAAGTCTGCTGCTCTTAATTTTGTCCAGAGTCAGTCTGTGAATAATTATATTAAGGAATTAGACAGTGTCATCAGAGAGGTGCAAAATATCACCCTTGAGGCCTCATTGGAGACTGATGGGAACTCTGGAGAGTCAGTAATGGTGATCAAAGGGTCTGTATATTTAAAATGCACAAAGGATGGGCCCAGAAATTATCTGCCTGCCAACTTAACTTCTCTACCTGGAGCAAATTATCCAAAAATCAATTTGCAAACACCTTTGAGATAACAAGGTCTTGAGTAATAACCTCCATGGCTTTCTAAAGAAAAGCACCTACCTTGACTAATCTGTTTAATTTCGCTCTCTGACCAAATGGCAAGCTATAATAGAGGCAATCTGAAATTGTCCCTTAAGATTTGTTTTGAGTCACACTGAGAAAATATTGTCCACCCCTGTTTTATAGCAAATTATTCTGTTTCTTGAGAGTCTTTGCTGCTTGGTAATTAATTAGAAGAAAAATGCTGAATAAATCTCTATCCCAAAACCCTTACCTGAGTTCCAAACTAAAACTCAAATTCACCTTTCCCCATGTGATTATTCCAGAGCCTCACCAATAGCAACATGTCCTTGAATAAATTTACAGTGTATATTTACAAATGTCTCTCTCACTCTGCTTCCTTGTTTTACTTTAAGAATCATTGGCCTGTTTATAGTTTTTGACAGATAATCCCATTCCTGGCATTTGTCTCTAAGAGCGTATCAAACAAGAAAGATTGAAATCATTTACACAAAGATGTTCAATGCAGCATTGTTTACCATAGCAAAATTTGGAACAACTATTATGGTTTCAAAGACTGGACACTAATTAGTATGATAAATTCTCGGGATGTTCTGTGCTCACGAATGATAGTGACAGCAAGATCCATGTAGTTTATAAACAAAACCCTTAGTGTGTTAGTAACTATCCTGTTACTAGGACAAAATACCCAACATTCACAGTTTAAAGGAGAAGAAGTTTATTTTAGCTCACGGTTATGGTCTTTATTCATCTTAGCTCCAAGGTAGAATAATAGTATAGGGGAAGGGCCTGATATGCCTAATAGCTGCTACTTTCATGGAGGCCAGAAAGCAGAGAGAGAAGGAAGGGACCATGGAGGAGGAGTTACTCTTCCAGGTAACACCCAACTGACCTGTCTCTTTCAACCAGGCCCCACCTCCCCATAGCACAATATCTGCTGGACTCACCATTGGTGAATCCCCTCGTGAGTACAGCACTCTCATAATCCAGCCCATCTCCACCACCTTCCAAAAGCCTCACCTCTGAGCATGTGAGAGTTTTGGGGTTCAAGTAAGATCCAGATCACAATACTTAAGATGTAATAAATGAGGGGAAAACTATCTTGAGTCTATGTATTATTTGTAACCATGTGAAAAATATAATTATATGAAAAAAATGGAAATGAAACAAGGAGAAATAAAAATGGCTCTTCTGTTGTGTGGTGAGGAAGAAGATATACTTTCTGTTTCTTTGTACTGTCTTTATCCCTTCACACCCATATATATGCTACACATAAGAATAGTAAACATATCCAATTTTATTTTTGTAAGAAATGAACATCAAGAAGCAAATAATCTTCAAGGAGGATAGCTGACCAGGGAGGACAGGCAGATGCTGGGTTTGATGGCCTCGGTTGGTGATCTGATCTTTTGGGTTTTCAGATTTTTATCCAATGACATGAAGGTGGTAATGTTCCAAGAATTACCAAAAATGACATGTCTGTAATTTCCTGGTATCTAAGATATATCAAAGAAGCACCTGATTTCTATAGCTTAGCCAGTAGGTACTACAAATGCCTGTTACAATTCTGGTCTTTTTAGCTGACTCTGTGGAACTTAGTGAAAGGGAGGCACGACACAGCAGATATGAGATAGCTCAGCAGGACTTTTTCTTTAATCCTTGATTCCTGCTGGGTCCATTGGGGCCAACTGGAAGGAACCTGCCAGTTGGAGAAGCAATTCTTGCTATACCAACATCCTTTTTTCTACCTAAAGCTCAGATCACCATTTGGGAGGATTTCCACTAACTTGTATAGATTCCAGCATAAGTAATGTTTATAACCTCAGACTCCCCTGGATTTTGCACCAAACTGCACTTTAGTAAGGGAATATTCTCTTTTGTGGATATAAATCAGAGTCTTACCTCAGACAGATTGCTATGGTTTGGAAAATTCATTTCCTTACATTATCTTTTTTTTTTTTTTTTTTTAAATTAGTACCAGGGATCGGACTCACAAGCATGCGCTTGCAAGGCAGGCACTTATGCCGCTGAGTTAAATCCCAAGCCCCAGCATTATCCTTTTTTCTTTTTTTTCTTTAAATGAAGGAGGTAGGCTAGGTGTTGATTAAATTTATTGAAGAAATACCGATTAATTTATTTAACAGGCAAAATCTTGAAAATGGAAGTAGGATGTAAATGAGGTTAATCATGAGCTGTTGGCCGTTTTCTGTGGCTATGTCTGGAATTCTGTTCCTCAGCCTCAAATACTTGAATTCTCTGTAAAACATTTGAGACTGAGTCCTTTGCTTGTTGCTTGCCTTACAGAGCCTCCCACGCCCATTGCGCCCCCTGAGCTGCTGGCTGTGGGGGCTACCTATCTGTGGATCAAACCGAATGCCAACTCCATCATAGGGGATGGACCCATCATCTTGAAGGAGGTGGAATACCGCACCACCACAGGCACCTGGGCTGAGACCCACATTGTCGACTCTCCCAACTATAAACTGTGGCATCTGGACCCCGATGTGGAGTATGAGATACGGGTGCTGCTCACAAGACCAGGCGAAGGGGGAACAGGACCTCCGGGGCCTCCTCTCACCACCAGGACCAAGTGTGCTGGTAAGAGTCTCCTTCCAGGCCTCCATTTGAGGGACTGGGCTGTTGCTGTGACAAGTCTTCTTGTGACATGTTGTCTGTGCATTTCTTTGATGTGAGCATGTTTTCTATTGTGGAATCAAAGCAGTCAATGTTTTGATCTTCCTTGAGAACCTTCTGGTTCTTACTGTGACTCTGAGACCCTTCTGCCTTTCGCTGTGTTATGGAGATTGTCTTTAGCTGTTTCTGACAATTTTCACATGGCACACTGGCTTTGTAGCTGTGACTGTGAGGATCCTGGGCACTATTTGTAGTCTGAGGGTTCCTAGTGCTAATAATAATGTGTCTGAGGGCTTTTGTTTCTGTGTTTCTGAGGGCTTCTGACCCTGTTTCTCTGTGGGCTCCTGGTTCTGTCCTCCTTAAATGCCATATATATATTGTCCCTGAGAATCCTTGAGTGGGCCTGTTACCCACTCAGAATTTGTTAATTTCATTCATGGTTCCCAGTTCTAGTTTTTTCTCTGAGGGAGTCTGGGTGGCAACTGTGTCCTCAGTGCCTACTGGCTCTGAAAATGTCTCTAAATTGATTCTACACCTGTTTTAGAGCCTCCTGCTCTGTATCTTCTGGGGGCTCTTGTTTCCTATCTGAGAGTCAGAATTGGGAATGTTACCCTGCACGTTCTCAGGATTCTAATGTATCTCTCTGGGCTTCTGGCTCCACCTATTGCTGTGATGTTTCTGGATACTGCTTAATGCTGAGATGTTTCTGGGTGTTTGCTGGCTCGTACTGCATTTAGGAAGACACTTTGGATCCAACTGTATTCCCGAGGCCTCTTAACTTTAACTGTATTTTTAACAAGAGGCTTTGGGCTGCCATTGTATACCATAGATGGTCTTGGCTCTCAATTAATTCAAGAAATTAAAGAAGTTCATGTTTAATTTTTGAAAATCACATTATTATGTATTTTTTACTCTAACCATTCACTGTGAATATTTTTATCTCAAATATACATGAAAGAATATAGGTTCAGTATTTTGAAAGTTTCTGTCTGAAGTTATAGTATTAATCAGTGGCATAGTCAAGATTTGCTCTCAGGTCTCCTGAACCTAATGCCTTTGTTCTATGGTCAAAACACAGTGAATAAATAGAGAATCATGTGCTGTTAGCATGGTGTACTGAGCAGGGGCTGATGCCCTCGGGAATGTGGTCAAGGAAGCAGGCAGCATGGATTTCCTAGGGAAGAGGAGATATTGATGGATTCTGGGGTGGAGGCAGGGTGTATATATGAGCGTGTGTACGTGTGTGGGTACCTGTGTGTCTGTGTTTATAAAGAATCCATCAGTACAGCAACACGAAATGAAAAGCCAAGTATGTCCGTTCTGCTATATATGAAATATGTGTCTCTGCAATGCACTGTAGCTCACCAATTAAACAATAAGCTCATGAGATGAAATAGGGTTGTGTGGGTACTTTTATATGTGTAATCACATATACAAAGAAGAATTGAGTAAAAATTATGGCACACCTTTACACATGGTAAATAACTAGGAAATGCATAAATATTACTATACACACCATAGACACCTAGAGAAAGACTTGTAGTTTGCTTGTAGCACAGGAATCTGAGGGGTTGCAGCCTATGAGTTTTCTCAAAGTGTTGGAAGAAAGGTCATTTGAAGTTGATAGAAAGATGAATGAGTGTGAGAAGGCAAGATTTGGAGGGATGTGTTTCTCTTTTGTGTATTTTAAAGGGTTCAGTTCAGCTGGGTACATTTTTTCACATCTCTATACACAGAGTCACCCATAAATGAATGTAGAATTCATGATATACCTAAATTTGTTCTTCATAGATCAATTTGGGAGCAAATTTGAGTTTTCAAAAACAAATGCTGGGGCCAGGGATATAGTTCAGTGGCACAGTACCTGTCTAGAAAGTTTGATTCCTGATACTAAAAAATAAAATGCTAATCCTAGATATGGTGGCACTTGCCTATAATCACAGTTACTCAGATGGCTACTCTGGGGGCTGACATAGGAGGATTGTAAGTTCCAGGCTGGCCAACTTAGTGAGGCCCTGTTTCAAAATTTAAAAACAAAGATCTACCTATCTGTTGGTCTGTCTATCTATCTATCTATCTATCTATCTATCTATCCATCTATCTATCTCAGTAGTACAGTACCCGTGGGTTTAATCCCTAATCCTGAACAAAACAAAAAAGAACAAAACTGTATGAAGGAATTGACTATATTCATTTCTAAGTATCTCAGTAGTAGATTTCACAGTATGTAAACCAAAGGTAGTGAATATTTCCATGACTTGAAAACATCCTTTGATGATTATTGAACTACCATCATGAACAGAAATACCATTTTCTTGATTATTTTTAAAATGGGCCTTTGGTAAAATTCCTCATTGGAACCTGATTATGAAACCTACTATTTTAAAAGGACATAAGTGTGTGTTATGAAACCAGGTAATGCCTTATCTCACCTTTGCAATGCAATAGTCATCCATAAAATAATTGATTTGATCGTGCTGATGAGACTTGTCTCTTTCCACGGGGTAAATGTAAGGGTAGATGTAAGGGTTTTCAGGGGTTTTGATCTTTATAAATGATATTTGAAGTACTTTAGCTGCCCCTTTGGACTTATTTGCTGATGATCATATAATACATTTTGAAATTCAATCACAAGATGATCATCTCAATAAAAATTTACGATCTATTGCAAACAGTTGCCACAACTGTGTAATAGATTTTGCATGTTGAAAACACAATAGTCTGAATATCACTATAAAGAGTTATAATGCTGTTTGTGGGGTCATATTACAAGAAATGTTGGTGTTTAAATAAGTTACGGCTAAAATCTTGAATAACCCACACTCTACAAAGCATGTCATTGAGAAAATAATCTTTTTTCTCCCATTGCCACTAATGGCAGAATGTTCTTTGCCTTGTAATTAATTTTTAAGAGAACTTCAGGGCAGGTATCCATTTGTGGATGCTCTTTGTTGGCATACATAGTCTGAAATTTTATTCCTTTCCCTGTTCTATTATTAATCATACTGGAAATGTACTCATTATTTTGCAAAACAGAAAAGGAGAGTGTGGAGTGTGGAAGGTATAATTTCTGCCCAGAGGAATTTACAGGCTAGATTAAAATTCCAGCAAAGCAGCAAAAGGGGTAAAACATAAATATGAAGTCTGGTATTGAGAGACATACGTCATAGAGGAAAACTCAATATGCAAATAACAAAGCTCTTAGAATCATCTAGAACCGTTGTTCTCAAAGTGTTGCTAGAGACTGACCAATCCACCAAAATCCGTGTCTTAGCTCCTAATTCTCAGCATGAAGATATTATGAGGTGAGGGGCTGAGGAAGGTAACTGGATTGTGAAGGGGATTCTCACATTCTGAGTCTTGAGACTCAGAATGCTGCCCTCGCTCCTTTGCACAGGAAGACACAGTGTGAAGTTGAGCTCAGGACACTGAGGACCTTCACCAGACACCTTACTTGCTACTGCCTTAACATTGCATTTTCTCCTCTACAGAACTGTAAAAACAAATTCCTGTTACTTAAAAGTTTCCCAGTTAATGGTGTTCGATAATAGCAGCCTAAATCAGTTGACACGTAAGATGTAGAAACTTGTTAGAATGCATATTCTCAGACCCAGTCTCAAAACCTGGTACATCAGAGATTCAGAGCATCGTGCCTAGAAAGCTCAGAATGCTGCTGCTGCTGCACACCGAAATGTAAGGGCCACTGGTACAGTGTGACACGTTGATACACCCCTTTGGTGATATGCCTGTTATAGAGCTTGATCCTACAGGCTACTCTGAGAGGCGGACAAAAGGAAGACTGAGACTCAGAATTATTGGGTTAAGTTCAAAAATCCTTTAAGTGCTTAGAGCTAAGTCTCTCAGCAATAATCATGGTCTCTAAACCACATTGTTTGATAGAGTATTAATTATTGTGGGTTGTTTTTTTTTTTTTTTTTTTTTTTGTACCGAGCATTGAGTTTCACAACCTTACACTCGCCAGGCAGGCACTGTACCGCTGAGCTATATAGCCCCAGTGATGGAATGTTAATCTTGAGGAGTTCTGCTCCTAACAAGTATCCTCCTGGGGGGTGGGACTGGGTGGCAACTGTGGAAACTAGCTATGAATGAAGGATCCATGTCTGTTCTTTTCATCAGGAAATTACTGAGCGCTCTGTGTGTGTCCTCTTTGTGCTGGGCACTGGTGGCAGAGTGTAGCTTACCAAGGGCATACCAAGAGCAAGAAGAGGATTGGCAGCAGTAAATTATCACCTCAAGTGTTTCTCAAGAAGATACCAGGGGCCAGTTAGCGAGGGCAGATGGGTATGTACAATGTTCTACCAGATCCTACAAAGTCATGGGTTAACTGGGTGTTTTAGGGCAACAGGAACAGAGTCCAATCCTTAAGATAGAAAAATATTAAGAGTTTGGCTGCAGAATATCCTAGCTCAAAGGCTAGAGTGTGGAGCAAGCCAGTTACACTGGAACCTAGACAGACTGCAAAATAGAAAGTGGGAGAAGTGAGTCTCAAGTGACACCCTATGCTTCTCGTTTAAATGACTGAGAGTGGTAGAACCACTTTTGGAGATGAAAAGCACAAAGGATTGGGCAGAGAGTGAGAGAGAGAGTGTTGCCAAAAGATTGGGCAACATATTCAGGTTTGAATATGTTGTGTAGGAGATTAGATGAGTAGCAGGTAATGGGGTATATACATCTGCAGCTTAGAAGACTAGCAAATTTTCTTTACCTTGAGAACTACCTGAGTTCACCCGGACTTCAGGATCAAAGGGACTTCTTAGTACTGATGAAAGCAATGTAATTCATTCACTGTCTTCACGCTATTCTCTTGAAATGCTCCATTCATGTTTTTAAATTCATTATTTTGTTCTTTTTCTTCATTTTAATCATTCATCATCCTTTCATACAGGCCTGGAGGCAGAGGCAATAATGTTTAGCAAAGAGTTTCGAAGTGCTCAAATGCTTGT